AAATTTGTACTCTGGTGCACACATTTCTACTGTTTATTGTTTTTCCCATAAAATATAAACAGTAAAATACCATAAAGTAATATTTGAAATACCTGCTGTTATTATTTAGCTTTAAAAATAAGCACAGTCTTGTCATTATGATACTTTTTTCCCATTAGTAAGCTTGCATTTTTTAAAATGTTTTTTATCCCAAAGAGGTCTCAGTTATGTTTTATTTACTATGGGTGAAATCTTGCCCTCGGTGGCTTCTTGTTGACTTGAAGAGGTCTTGGATTTATTTCTCTGTGCTTTGAATACAAGTATCTTAGACACCCATGAAAACACAGAAGCATTGAGTATACCACTTAGCCCTGGGAAATTTATTGAGCAGAATAAACGTCATTGAACTGTGGAGAAAAGTGTAGGTGTACAAATATGTTTAGTCAGATTGTAATTAAGCCAGGATGCTTATGGAATTCCAAGATTTTTGTGGAATAACACTGTGGTCTTTCTAATCCTTATGCCACAATATAGGCTGGTTTTATCTCTTCTTATGAGAAAAACCTTTCCAGCTGCAACCTGTGTTTTAACAGGACAGATTTCAAATAATTTATATTTTACTGACAGAGCAAAATGACTGCAGTATAGCTTTTCCTGTTGCCAAAAAGTTACCAAGTGCACCTTGCTGATCTGTAGTATTCTATAAAGCTTGTTTGTTCACCATTTTTTTATGTATCTGTGAAGTTAAAAATATATTTCTTGAAAGTGTTTACGATGCAGAAAAAATCCCCAAAAAACCTAGAAAATAAAATTTGAATTGGGCAAAACAAAGCCAAACAGAACAAGTGACATTTCTTATAAAACCACAGTCTACTCTCATCTTTCTTCAGGCTGTATCTGATCACCACTGTGGTATCTCCCGTGTCATTGTGCAGCATGTTCCATGTAACACATGAATATTGAGAGACTATTCAGAGAGTTTACCTTACAGTAAAACTAAGAGTTGGTGTGGTGGAAAGTAGGAAACAGAACAGAGATTTGAAGTTCCATTTTGTCTCCTTGTCTTTTGCTTTCATTAAGAAAAGTGGGATGGTCACTAATGGTTTCCCCTTCACCATTTATTACATTTGCTGTACGTCAGGCAAGGAGCCTTCCCTGAAGCATCTCCTGTTAGATCAGTAGTGTGTCAGTCACCTTACAGCCTCATTAGTGTCTGTGTGATATCTCTCAGAATACGGGAAAGCGTGGCTCGTTGCTCTGAGCACAGCTGCAGCCCACATCAGAAGGTTGCTATATGGATATAGACTATGAAAGTTTCAACTTTTTCAAATTGAAAGAATGTTTAGAAAGTATTTTAGGTGGTGTATTAGTCCAGGAACCAGGATATGTCATAGTGCGTAGGTGGTTTGTGTGTCTGCCAGTCTCAGTCACTGCAGAAAGAAATGACGTTTGCATTGTAACACACGGGAACTCTGTGCTTTTTTCACCACAGCAGCAGTTGGGTGGGAGCTACTGATCATTCAAAGAATGGGGGTGGCTAAAGGAAAAGTCTGAAAATCTCAAACGTTCAGAAGATTCTCTCTGGTTCTGTCATTGCCTTCTGAGCGTTTGGAGTCTCAGGTTAACTGCCCATGTCTTACATTTTTCTGGTTTTTCCCTACTGGAATAATGATCCTCCTAATAGTGTTTCAGCACCAGTGATCTTCACTTAACTAATAGTTCTGTGAAGACCAATAGTTTTATGTTAATTTTCTATTTTCAAGAAAAACAATAAAGTCTGTGTGAGACCCTGGTAGCTGCTGTTGTTGAGGGGAATTTCATTTGCCTTCTTCAGGAAGTGAGCAACAAAGTTCCCCAGCCAGTCAGCTCATACCCTCAAGGTGGTGGTTGTCATCTGTGGAACTGTGTGCACCTAGGATGAAATTAATATTCCAAAATAAATGTTTAAGCATCTAAGCCCTATTTTGTTGTGTATTTTTCCCTTGAAAACAGTGGAAGATAGTAATCCAAGAAATAGTGATTAATCTGTACATTTGTGGCTGTAAATTCCACATCAGTAAGAGCATATCTATATTTCAGGTACAGACACAAAAATTCTTAGGAAATTTAGCTTGTTGAATTTTATATAAAAATGAACCAAAGTAAGAGTATCCAAAGATGACATTGGAACAAGACAGCTTTTATAAATGTGTCAGTGACACTCTTATTTGTTTAGTGTGGCTAGGGACATTCCTCATATTTATGATCTGAAGTCAGAACAATACTGTTCCTGTCCCAAGGGCTCACATCCTGTGACAGAAGAGTGAACACCATAAAGGGAAACACACTATCAATAAGGAAACATTAGCAGCAGAGTAGGAACAGCCTTGAATTCCAGTTTTCCCATAAAGCCTGTGGTTTTCTTTAAACTTTGCCTTCTATAATTGATCGGTTAACTTAGTTTTCATGTTTTCATTGGTTCTAGCATACACAATTGCAGGAAAAAGATAAGTAAGGAAATGTAACACTGAATAGGTAAGTCACAGAGTGCGACAAACAAGAGCCCTTCAAACATTTGCTTCCTAATTGCAAGCTAATATTTTCATTTTGTAGGGATTTAAATAATATAAAATGTTGAGCTTAACTAGTGACTATAGTAGAGGACACTGAAATGGCCATAGCAACATCTCTTGGAATACGATTGGTAACACCTGTGGGAAATTTAAGTTAAAAACATCTTATTTTGTTAAACTGAGATAAGTTCCAGAAACAGAATTCAAAAGTACTTTTAAAATGACTGTCATGTGGGCTAAAAGGCGTCCATGCTAGATATATGGAGACAGACAGAAATGTTCCTTTAGCTGAAGGGCTGGGATTTTTTTCCCCATTGTGTTGTATTGACAAAATATGTGGTGGACAGAAAGGTTCATCAAATACACAAAATGAGAAGAATTTTATAGACCCTAACCTGTTCCACTTTAGTGATGAAATTCTGGTGACTTGCTTGTCCTTATATCTCGAGCTTGCCAGTGTCAGCCTGAGGCAAAAAAACAACAAAAAACAAAAGCCACAAAAAACAAAACAAAAAAACCAAACAAAAAAAGTTAAACAAACCAAAACAAAACAACTTTTGAAAGTCAAGGATAAGTGCAATGGCTGTTCCTAGCTTCCCTCTCCAGGTACTCAGACACTTTGGGGATCATAACAGAGAGGCAGGAAAAAGAGAAATGGTGGCAAATTGTATGTTCCTTTTGCCATCGTTAAGTCTCAGGATAACTTACTTTGCTGAGACTAAATAAAATATCAAAAACAAGTATTTTCTTACAATTTTCTTCATGACAAGCATGGCCAAACTTAGATTGCTCTGCTATTCCAGAGTTATTCCTTGCTCTGAAATAAAGGAAGTCTGTAAACACTATTGATTATGATAGTTACCCCAACTAAACAAATGATTCAATGATCTTCTAAATGTGGAAAACCCAAGAATAATGATAATAATAGATACTTCTTGTCCAGCTTGCCACGGCACAATGAATCTGATCATGTTTGGCTTCATCTGCTGCCTAATGCAATGTAACATGGCAGATAAACTAAATCAAATGGGTGACACTATCAGACTTGGAAGATGATAGCTCTTGTAAAGCAAATGAAGTGAGACTGTATCAATCCAGAAGATTTCAGATGTTTATTGAGGTCTTGAATCTTTGAAACCCAGCAAATTAATGTTTCAAATGCTGCAAGGCAAGTGGCTGCAAGTACAGCAGTATGCTTATTACTGGCAAAGCTGTTGCCTGAAACAGAATTCATCTAAATTTTAGGTTTTATTTGTGTGTTTAATTATTGTTTTAATTTCTGCAAGTGCTTTGTAGATGCAGTGGCTTGAACTTCAAAGGATACTGCTACAAATGCTTTTGTACTCACTAGAGTTGTGATCACACAACTTTTAGTTACGAAGATAAGTTTAAATTTCAATGAGCTAGGGTTTAATACTATGCATTCAAATAAATAGTATCCAAGAAGTATTTTTGATTGTTTTCAACATTGTCATAAAAGGTTGTGTTTATTGGGTAGTTTTAAGGAATGTTTTCATTTGTATTTCTTTCAACTATTTGTTCATTTTGAATATTTGTAACAATTCATTGTGTGATATTACTTGAACCTTTAAAAAGTTGGTCTGCTAATTAATTATCTTTCAGTAAATAAGATGGAGTTGCTGTAAGGGTTGTAAACACTTCAGAAGACACCATGAAGACATACTTATTTTCATTACTTAAAGCTGTGTTTCTTTTTAATTCTGCTTTGTTTGCTTTATGAAAGCAAAATGTTCAGTTCACACTCAATATGCAGTTTAGATAATGTTTTTTTATTTATGATGACATTGTGAATTATTTTTTAATAGGCAAGAGCTGGTTCAAAAACAAGGGTTTTTTATTTTTTTTTGTTTAATACTTGAAAAAAGACTTGAAGTACCTTTATTTCTTAAAATAAGTAGGCTTCAAAATGCAGTGTTAATGCTGTCAAAATGTAACGGATTTTCTTACAGTCTACCAATAATTTGTTAGATTGTCAAAAATTAAAAATAGCCTCTTCAAGAAATTTGTCTTCCAGATCAGATTTTTATGTGTGTTCTGAACAGCAGTGTAAGAAACTGTGAAGAATAAACCTTCTTCCATTAGCTTCAGGATTTGTTCTCCATTAAGTTTAATTATGTAGGAAGTTTTCAGATAGATAGTCTTAAGAACATTTGAGTAGTATGCCTGAAATTTTGGTTTTGTAACTGTGCTGGGATTTCTTTTAAATTTAGCCTCTCTGAGTAGTTAGGAGTTTTAGAGTTCTTTGCTCATGCTCTTCAGGTTATTAAAATGTTTCTCTAATGTATCTTCCTCAATAATTGATATGTATTAATTATTTAAAACTATTGTTGCAGTTAAAATATGAAGAATTGGCATTAATTGTGTTTGGGTTTTGTTATAGATATGACATCCTAAAAGCTAGAACTCAAATTAGAACAAAAATAAAATTAACTTTCTTTCTTTTTATAGCCCACTGTTTGTGAACGGGAACTCTGTGTATTTGCTTTCCAAACTCTAGGAGTGATGAATGAAGCTGCTGATGAAATTGCAACTGGGGCGCAGGTAAGATTATCTACCTTTTCTGTAGTTTACTCAGTCCTCTCAGTCTCTTCCAGTATGTGTTTTGACTTGTCTGCACCATAGGAGTACTGCTTGGTAAATATTTATTTGTCCAGTTATAGCTGTAAATGTAGTGGTTTATGTGTGGTGTATTCAAACAGTACTAATGAGGGGTTTCCATTGTTTTGCTTCCATGTAATTAGAGTAACTGTGTTTTCGTGCCCAGTTGTATTCAATTAGGTCACCTGGGTTGTTAATAAAGGCAGCCATTGTAATTTCGAGATAATTCACATTTATTTTCACCTAATGAGCCATTGCTAGTCTCATGCAATTAATAAGTTACTTCCTCTTCATGGTCTTGGGATGCAGGGATCCACTAAGCATCTGTTGTTTTGATCGTTACACAGCAGTGGGGAAGTCATTACTGATATTGCTACATAGGGTTCTTTCTTCTTCTCAAGGAGCAGGAATTTAATATAAGCCTGCTTCCTGACTCTAGATTCAGTTACTGATGTAGTTATAACCCTATCATTGTTTTCTTAAAGTATTTTGAATTTGAATTTTCAAGTCACTAACCTCATGTTTTATTAAAAACGAAAGTTAGAAGATCTTATGTTTAATGTCCCTTCAAGATCTTATGGTAAAAGTCTGCACATCTTAAGAAAAGTGCCCTTGTGTCCAATTTTCTGGTTACTGTGCTTCTGTGTAGTAAGCAACATGGGTTTTTCGGAAGACCAAACTTTCAGTTTATTTAACTTTAACTAGCACTGGTGAATATAGTCACTGGTACCTGAATACAACCATGAGCATATCCTCAAAGGAAGAAAGTTGGAGCAGTGTTGACCAGCTTCCTCACTTGAGAATATGACTGTGGAATCAGAACACCAGCTCTTCATCTGATGTCTGAAGACCATTGGATAGCTATGTTTGTAGCATCTAGATACCAAATATCGGGATAACAGTTTAGGCTTGTAAGAAATGGAAGGAGCTGTGCAGATGAAGCCCTATTTTTTCCTCAGTCTGAAGTCCTGTGAGAATTTATTTTTTTTTTAATTCAGGCACATGTTACGGTACATGTACATTTAGAATTGTAGCATCACAGAATAGCTGGAGTTGGAAGTGACCTGTGAAGGTCATGTAGTCCTGTGCCCTGCCATGAGCCAGGAAAACTTACACTTGATAAGGTTGCTCAGAGCCCTGTCTGACTTGACCTTGAATGTTTCCAAGGATGGGGGATCTACCATGTGTCAGTGTTTCATCACCCTCACTATAAAAATCTTTTTTATAACTAGTCTGTATCTCCCTCCTTGAGTATAAAACCTTTACGCCTGGTCCTATCACAAGAGGTTCTGCTAAAAAGATTTTCCCCATCTTATCATCCCTCTTTAAGTACTGAAAGGCTGTAATATGGTGTCCCAAAAACCTTATCTTTTTCAGGCTGAACAACCCCAGCTGTCACAGCCTGTCTTCATCAGGAGGGAATTCCAGCCTTCTGATCATTTTGGACTTGCTTCAACAGGTGTAGGTCTTTCTTGTCTTGGAGACCCCAGAGCTGGACACAATGCTCAGGTGGACTCTCATTAGGGCAGAGAGGAAGAATCCCCTCCCTCCCCTGCTGCCCACAGGGCTCTGATGCAGCCCAGGACACGTTTGGCTCTCTGGGCTGTGACTGCCATGGCCAGGGCATGTCCAGCCTCTCACCCACAGCACCCCCAGGTCCTTCTGGGCAGGGCTGCTCTGGGTCTGTTCATGCCCAGCCTGTGCTGACACCAGGGGTGTCCCAACCCAGGCGCAGCACCTTGACCTTGGCTTTGCTTAACTTCATGAGATTCCCATGGGCTCACTTCTTCCACTGGTCCCTCTGGATGGTTTCCCATCCTTCAGGCACATCAGCCGCACCACTCAGCTTGTGTAATGTGCAAATTTGCTGAGAGAGCACTTGAACTTGAGCACACTGACCTGTGTCATTAAATAGCACTGGTCCCTGTATTGCTCCCTGAGGGACACCACTCGTCACCAGTCACCATCAGGACACTGAGACATTGACCTCTAAGCATCTGGATGCAACCATCCAACCAATTTTTTATTGACAGAACTGTCTGTCCATCTAATTGTTCTCTCTCCAATTTAGGGAGAAGGATGTTGGGGGGGACTATTTAAAAGACTGTACAGAATATGAATGACATCTGTAGCCCTTCTCTTGTCCACTGATGTGGTCACTCCATCACAGAAGGCCACTGCATTTGTCAGGCAGTTGCCCTTAGTGAAGCCATGCTGGCTGTCCTGAATCTCCTCCCCATCTTCTATGTGCCTTAGCACAGCTTCCAGGAGGAGCTGTTCCATGATCTTCCCAGGTACAGAGGTGAAGCTGACAGGTTGGTAGTTTCCAGGGTCCTCCTTTCTACTCTTTTTGAAAAGAGGTGTGATGCTTCCCTTTTTCCAGTCATCTGTGACTTCACCTGCCTGCCATGCATTTTGAGTTAGCATGGAGAGATAGCTTGGCAGCTCTATCAGCCAGTTCCCTCAGGATTCTGGGATGAATCTTATCAGGTCTCTCTATGTTCACATTCCTCAGGGGCTCTCAAATCTAATCTTCACTGACAATGGAAAGCACTTTGCTTCCCTACTTTCTGTGTTGAGCTTCATCCACTTGAGAGGTGTGTGAAGAGGAGACTGCCAGTGAAGGCAGCAAAGAGCTGTCAGGTTCCTCGGCCTTCTCATTGTCTGCCATTACCATTTTGCCAGTCGTACTCAGAGAGGGATGCACTTTCTTTCACCTTCCTTTTCTGGCTCATGTGCCTTCAGAAGCCTCTTCATTATTCTTTGCATCTCTTGTCAAGTTCGTCTCCAGTTGCACCTTGGCCTCCCTCACTCCATCCTATAAAATATATAATATAATTATTATATAACAAGCAAGCTATGTCCTTATATTCTTCCTAGAATATCTATCCCTGCAGCCACTGCCTGTGCATTTCCTTATTTTCTTTTAGTCTTACCAGCTGGTCTGGAGTCATCCATGCTGACACCTTGTCTTCCTTTCCTGATCTCCTACACATGGGGATTGAGAGCTCTTGCACTCTATGGAAGGCATTCTTCAAGATCTGCTAGCTCTGTTCTGCTACCTTGCCCCTGCAAAGTTTTCCAGGGGGTCCTGTTGAATAACTCTTTGAACAGCTGGAAGGTTGCTTTCCTAAAATTAGTAAAGAATTAGGTATAACCCTTTTTAAGTAGAGCTAAGTAAGTAGAGGAGAGGTGGCCCTGGTTAGCTCTCAGTGTTTTATGTAAGTATCAGTGTTGCAGGTATATGCAGAGCTTGCTCTAGATCTCTGGAGTACCTCTGCATTTAGAGAGCTTTACTGTAGAGTTCTGAAGTGATTACAACCTTAAGAGTGCTTAAAAGTGCTAGATAAGAGATTTTGTCTGTTGTCCCATTGGACCTAGGTGGCTAAGTTCTGCTAGGTTTCACTTTAGTGATGGTACTGCAGCCAGCTCATTTTTTTGGATCCGGCTGAACCCCCATTCCTGTTTGCAGAAAGAATTTATCAATTCTAGAGTTTGATCCATCTGAGCTCTTTTTGTCATTAGTTTAGGACAGTGTGAATCACAGCATAACCTGTCAGCACAGTGGTTATTTCTCCACATTTTGTCTGATCAATCTTCCTCCAAATCCTTTTGTCTACTGAAGAAGCGTAAATACAGGTTCCCATCATTAGAAATCATATCCTGTTTTGTCTTTTGTGCTTTCAGCTAGTTTTCTTCCTAGGGTGCACAACCCCACTTTGTCACTCCAAATAATACAGTGTCTTCTCCTTAATAAGTATTTGTCCTTTCTGAAACTTTCCAGCCTGAACTCAGGTTGCCTTGTATTAGTCATGTAAGCAAAATGCTTGAAAATTAGATGATTGATTTCTTGATAGTACCTACTCCATGTAAAGAGTCTCTTGAGAGTGAGAGGCACTGTCTGAGGGACTGATGTCACAAGAGGAATTGTCATCAGCAGGTGTTGTCCTTCATGCAACTATTTTAATCCTTACTTACTTCAGCACCTCCAACTGAGGAAGAGTTCACCCCCGGTTTTAAGGACATCTGCTAGATCCACAGCACTTCCTATTCCCAAGGAATGCATATGCAAGGCTGTATTATAAGGTTTCTATTAGATGCACCACCCACTTTAAGTTGTTTTGCACTGCATCAACTCAAAACAATGACCTCAGGGGAAATAAGGTGTAAAAAAAAGAGCAGCGTTGGAAACAATCTAGGAGTCAGTAGTTTGTTTAAAGGAGGGCTTAGGGATAGTGTCTTGAGTAGAACTGTGCTGGTTTTAGACAGTATCCCATCATGCAAATGATAAAGCAAGACAGCTTTGAGTCCCTGCATTAAAAGATCTGGGGACTCAAACAGCTCTTCCCTAGCAGTGGTTTGTGACAGCAGACTAAGAAGTGCTTCTAAGAAGCAGAGTGAACTCATGCTCAATTTCACGGTAATACATTTACGCAGGGGCAGGACTGCTGCCTGATCTGGTTGCTGATCTCCTTTATAAATGCTAGTGCATATGCCCTATTTTGAAACATTCATCACACATACAGCTAGTATAAACTGGAAAGTAATCAGTGAGCCATTGGGGAAGGGATCATTATTTAAGTAATTTCATTTTTCAATATATGTGAGCTATTTAGTAACTGGAACTAACAGACTATATTAAAACTGACGGAGAAAATTGTCCATTCATGCTGAAGGAGCAGAGGAGGAGAATGGCAGCTATATGACTCACCACAGCAGAGTTCTTTTTCCCTTTCATCATTATTCTTATTTTCATTCTGGCTCTCTAAAGGACCATAATTTTTTCCATCCAAGTGATCAGATACAATGACAGATATAGAAAATCTTCTAGATGAGTGTGAGCTGTGAGATAATATCTGATCTGTGTGGAGTTGTGGAGGGAACAAGGGATATCTTCTAACTCCAGCTTGTCTTGGCTTTTCCTTTCTTTTGTGGAAAAGTCCGTTTTCACACAGAACTGCTTTCAGAAGGTACAGAAAAAACACGGGGAAATAAGTTAATCTGCAGTTACTTTTCAATGTAGTAATTTTGGATTTCATTATGAGCTGGATTTATATTTCACAGCTTCCAGAAAGCTACTTTCTCTCATGTTTGTTATTGCTGTATTCTATTTTTAACATCTGAATTACATGTTTTGAAACAATTACGTGGCTATCTGTGTCTAAGTGATATATGTGCTTTTGTGCACACATGTCAATGTGCACATTGTGTGCACAATCCTGTGGAGAAATTGTGCAAATCATAGATATTCAAAGTGTTGTAATTTTGTACAACAGGATGGAAAGAAGAGTATGCCCCAGTGTGAGCTGTGCAGATGACTGTTAAATCATTGCAGTATTCTGCCTTTAGCAGAAGCAGTGTTTTCAAGTGTTTTTGTGATTACAGTCTTCAGGAGAAGAGCAGAAAGTGGTACAAATTTGACAGATTATTCCTTATTCTTGAGCAACAGTTTTGCTGGCATGTCTATACAAAGATACACATATCCAGCACAATTTCATTTCCTTAGTGAATAAATTTGATACAGGAATTCACATGTGTGCACAAGACAAAGCAACACATCAAGCAATATATTTGATATTATAATACTTTTAGGACCAGATACTGGTTCTATTTACATGCACGTGGAATAATGTGCCATGGCTGAAACCAAACTCTATTGAGGTCAGTGGAAAAAATTTAGTCTTAAACTATCTCTTGTGGATAACACAGTTTGGGCAATATAGGTAACAATGAAATACAATATATCTGTAATGTGTATATAAAAAAAAAAAAAAGGCAGGCTGTAAGATACAATATAAAACATATTCAACATATTTTGAATATAATACATAACAAATATGTCTTTCTTTATCCCCAGGTGGTTGATCTGTTAGTATCTATGTGTAGGTCTGCATTAGAATCACCTAGGAAAGTTGTCATTTTTGAGCCATATCCTTCTGTAGTTGATCCTAATGATCCTCAGATGCTGGCCTTTAACCCCAGGGTAAGTAGCTACCTTTAATTATTTCATTGTTGGGTTTTAGTCATACATGAGATTTTAAAGCGAAGACTTCTCAAGGCCCAGTCTCCTTTATTATGTGATACAGCTCCAGAATATAGCACAAGCATATTTTCAAAACTTTGCAGCTCTTATTTATTGTCTTTGAAAAAGTACTTGAATATAGACATGTCCTGGTTCTGGCCAGGACAAGGTTAATTTTTGCAGTAGCAAGAATGGGGCATGGCTAAGACCAAGAGGTTATTCTATACCAGCTTGTATCATTGCTGGGAGCAGGGGGAAGGGAGTCTCTTCCAGGGAAAAGAGGGAAAAGAGTTCCCACTTTACTTGGCAGATGGAGCAGTTGGATATTGTTTGTTGCTGGTTTTCTTATCTCATTGCTGTTTCAAGCTGATTGTTCTTACCTCAACCTGTGCCTCTCAGTCCTCTATCCCACAGCAGGGGGAAAGTGGAAGGAGGAGGGGGAAGGGGACAGTGAGCAGTGCTTGGTTTTAGTGGGAACACTAAATTGGAGAATACCATCCCTAAACCTGACAAAACTGTAGCTTATGTTAAAACCAAGAAGTTCTTCTAAGGGAAAGTTCTAGATGCAAAATTTTATATTCTAGGTGTCTTTCACTTAATGTGCACATTGGACACAAAAATAAAGTTTGCCTTTGAGAGATATAGGTCCATCTTTTAATTCTTAGAAGTGTCATTGCTGTCATCTCATTTTCTCACTGCAAGCAGTTATTTCCTTGTATGTAATTTTATCAGATGTTGATAGTTGAGTTTTGTACAAGCATCAATTTTGAAGTAAAGAATTGTCCTAGTATTACCTGCTTCTGGGACTCCAAATACTGCCTTTCAGGACAGCCCTCAAGCCACAAATATTCCATCTCCCTAAAGCCATCTCCCCAGAGGCACAGAAGAGAACTTGGCATGTCCTGTGCTGGGATCCATTTCACTCTTTCTGAACAAAGGCCACCTAGCAGGAGTTCTTTCTCAGGAAAGACTGAGGTGTTCTGTAGTGTGTTGGCAAGACCTGAAGGCAGGAACAGTGGAGATGCTGAGGGTGACATGTCATGTGGAGTGGTGAAGCATGGACTGTTAAGCCTGTTCATTCAGTATAGGTGAAGCTGTCTGGGAGTTGTTCCCAAGCAGTAGGTCAGCAAAGATCAGGGTGAGGCAGAGGGACCACTGAAGGATCTATGAAGTTTTATAGACCTGCTAGCAAAGGAAACACATCTGTTTATACACATTTAGTTTAAAATCTGTTTGAGACACTGAATTATTTACCTCAAGAGCACGGTGTCCAAATAACGGTGTTTAGTTACAAATATTTGTTTAAAAACCAGCTGATTTTTTGAGTGTTTTTGAGATCCCAATGAAATTCAAAGAAAGATCATAACAATATTTTTTCAAGGAATTTTTCTAGATGATGAGTGAGAGTCTGTGTACAACCTAGAAGAAAGGTAATGGTTAGAAATGTTTGGAAGAATTTATTTGCCCAGCATTTCTCATAGCTTTGGTTTTATACGCACAAAGAATTCAGGGTTTTTTTAGAGCCAAAGACTGACACTTATTGAACTTACTTGTGTATTTTATGCCACATCAGAAGAAGAACTATGACCGAGTCATGAAAGCATTGGACAGTATCACTTCCATCAGAGAAATGACACAGGTAAATTTAAAAATATTTACCTAACTTAGAAACTGTTTCTAGAACTTGAAAGATGTTTGTATTGCCTGCTTATGATGGGTTTGGAAGTCAATAGTATCAACTCTCTCCTGTATAATTGTAATAATATTGAAATGTTTATTCGAAATAAGAAACCTATCCCTAATGCCAGTTAAATAAAAGTAATGAATTAGAACTCAGATATTTTGAAGTTTAAATAAAAGATAATAGAAGAATGAGACATTGTAATGAGGACATCACCAGCTGCTGAATTTCTGGACATATCAAAGGCAGAGGCCTTTACTTCCAAAGCAGAAGAAATTGATCTTGTGTCAGTGTTCTGAATGGTATTCCAAATTACATGATACTTATTTCCATTACAGCAAAATTCTCAATCAGTTAAGTATAGCTGGGGACTTGGAAGGTTGGGTCTCTAGGGTTTACTGTCATATTCTTTCTTATGGCATATTTGATGGTCATATTTCTGTTTGTTTTTATTCTCTTTTCCCAAGCAACCCAGCTGATTATAATTTGTTGTTTAAATCTCTTCCATGTATCTTGCTTTTCCAACTGCTATGTAAATCTATCCTCACAATGGTTTTCAATCTTGCTCTGTGTGCTCATTCACAAAATACTTTGGGATTCTTGAGTGAAGAATGTGGAGAGGAATAAAATAAATTGAAAATTGAAATTCACATTTTTTTGTTAATTTGTGTAACATCTTGTAAAAATTTAAAAAATTGGGTGTTTCTGTGATTGCTTATGATGCCTTTTAAAGATAAAAAATAGTTACCATTCTGGGTTTTTTAAATGTTAAAACAATTCTTGGACTAATGAGTTTATTCTTGGACTAATGAGTTTTAAAGGAATGTTTTGCATTGTGATTGAAATCAAGGGTGGTTTTCAAAGAAATTACAATTTGATATTGTATTTATACCTTGAAATAGTTAAAAATACTGAAATGGATTATTTTGGGTTTCTTCGAGAGACTTAATTTTGTGAAGTTCCAGTCCAATTTTTTAATCAAGAGCCACACAAAAATAGATGTCTTCTGCTGTTCTCCCTGAGATAACCAATGTTTTCTATAATACAGTCATTTTGATGCTAATTATATGCTTATTATCTTACTCCAGGGAAAATAGTTGCTATATTAATTCTTGTTGTCAAAACACATTTATAACTCTACTATGCTGTATATCAGTAAAGCTGCAATTGAAAGCTAATAATGAGTCCCATGCATTAATTTTAATAGATGAAATCATGGGCAATGTAACATACAAAATTGAACCTAGAAATAACATAATTACTCTTTTCTAGGCACCTTACTTGGAAATAAAGAAGCAGATGGATAAACAAGACCCGCTTGCACATCCTCTTCTACAATGGTATAAAGTTGATTCACATGAGATAATAATTATTAAAGTATCATTTGTAATGAATAATCACTTAACCAATGTATGTGGTATAAGGCCAGACTAATAATTAACATTGGTACTTTCAACTGCAGCTATTCTGGACTGTTTCTGGACTTCATCTGGGTCCTCTGATCTCATTTTCTAGTTAAGGTTTGGCCTACTTCCATCTGATAGATTTAGAGGCTTGCAGCTGGGTGCTTTGTGCTTGCCATTCATAACACATTTTTAAGAAGTTAGGTTTGGTTACCACGTCTGATACATCTGTTTCTTATTTTAGGGTTATTTCTAGTAATAGATCACATATTGTGAAGCTACCGGTGAATAGGGTAAGTGTCTGTGGGTTTTCTTATTATTTTCTGATTTTTATGGCTCGTATTAGCATCTTAGGTGGGAGTATACTAGTGAAACACAGGTGCATGCATTCAAACTGATTGCATGGACTTTAATAGAGAAAGCAGTTCCAGGTCATGATTTGTAGAAATATGTGAATATGTGAAATAGGTCAAGGGAAAACTGTTCATAAAAAACCTGTTTGAGGTGAGTAGCTCAGATTCAGGTGTCTACCTTGTAATTGTCTGAGATTGAGAGAAACATCAAATTTTTTTTTTGTTACCATATGGAATATTATATGCAGAATTGTACAAAAAGCTGTGCACACTAAAATGATGTAGCAGGAGAGCCACATATAATCCCTGATTAAGGGTGTAGTAATATGCAACCTTCCAAATAACATTAATTCAAAGATAGCTCTGACCAGAATACTAAAATGAAATTGTTCAGTTTCATTACTAGAGCCATTTTAAATTGAAATTAGTTTCAAAAATTTCTTTTATGTTTCATAAACTGAAAGTAATTTTTACTGTTTGATTTCAACTTGACACTGTGGAAGTGTGACCAGTTTCAACTTAGTTCACGTAGTTATTGAGATACAGTCGTGTGTTGTGTGGAAAAGCACGATATTTTAAGGATTGCCATCAGAGAACTGCAGTACTTTCATGTTAATCAAATTCTCTTCACATGTGCACTCTTATATTTTACAGCAACTAAAGTTTATGCACACTCCCCACCAGTTCCTTCTTCTCAGCAGTCCACCAGCCAAAGAATCCAATTTCCGAGCTGCTAAAAATCTCTATGGAAGTACCTTTGCATTTCAGTGAGTACATACATTCATAATAACCAAAGGTTACTGAAATGCCATGCTATTTTTTGCTTCTGGCATTTGAGGTTTGCAGCTGTGAATCCACTATTTTAAAGGATTTCTGATGTAATTTTGCATTTTACACTGTGAATTATACCGCTTTCTTTTTCATTTCATTCAGTGGTTCACACATTGAAAACTGGCATTCCATCCTGAGGAACGGTTTAGTTGTTGCTTCCAATACGAGGCTGCAGGTAAATAGACGAAATAGATTTTAGCTAACCTAGATTTTAGCAGGCTGGTAACATACTAGCTTTGGCAAGTTCTCAGGGGGTTTAATTCTGGTAGCCAAATAGCTGGGAAAATGGATGATTTCAAATACCATCTTTTTTCCTGGAAAAAGTACTTTTCTGATGCAGCTAAGATGAAATAATGTTTCTGCTAAAACGTCGAGAAAATCCCTTTGTGGGAATCAGTGTTTCGGTTTTATGTTGCAGAGCAGCACCTCCAGGAGGCTTCGCTCGGTACTGCTTAAGAGCAGTTGCAAGTGAAAGTCAGAGCTGCCTAAACTGTCTCCGTGTAACAGGATCCAGAAACATGCTAGAGTTCTAGGAACTGGGCTTGCAGCACTCTCTCTGAGTCTTTGATTTCTTTGGGAATAGAAGCGTGAAGTGCGCTGGCCAGGAGGGATCTAGTGCAGACTTCTCAGACTGCTATTGCAGAGCAGAGTAGGCCCTACAGAAGGACTGGGAGCTATAATGTGGAGTATTTTAGCATTGTGGTTTTGGCAGCTCTCCCCAGAGCTGGGTCCATGTACCTTGGAAGAGGATCCCAGGGCATATTTGGCCATGTGCAGAAACACTCTTTGTAGGCATCCTTCATAGTAATACTAGATTTAAAAACAAAACCCACAATTTTATATATAAATCTTAAGTAAAATTTTGTTTGGGCATCTGTTTTTTTTTTTTTGTTTGGACATGGTTTCCAAGATCGATCGATCGATCTGTCTATCTATCTGTCTATCTATCTATCTATCTATCTCTCTATCTCTCTATCTCTCTATCTCTCTATCTCTCTATCTATCTCTATCTATTTTAGTTTTATACTCAGGGCATGATTTTTTAAATTACTTCCTTGAACACTGTTATTTACCTGTCAATAAATTAATAGGGTGAGCAAATGCATTATGACCTATTCCTGTAATTATTACTATTTTGTCCAGGTAACCAAATTAATGCTAAGTAATCCCTCTGCTCTTTTTCAGCTCCATGGTGCAATGTTTGGAAGTGGAATCTACCTTAGTCCATTGTCAAGCATATCATTTGGTTACTCAGGTGATATTTATAAATCACTTTAAAGTTGGAGAAATATAGGGGTGTATCTAATTCTACTAGCTGTTTCTAAACAGCTTCGCTGTTTAAAACATTGTATTCAATTTAATCTTTGTCAACCATGATTTGATTTATTCAAAAAAAGATAAAATCTTATTTTTTAAATATAAATAACAAGAAATTAGAAAATTCCCTTGTTAAATACTGTCCTTATTTTTCAAGGTGCTTAGAATTCTCAAACTGTGCTGGAAGTAAATATTAGCTAATACTGAATGCTGTATGTAGTAGAGCAGGTCTTGATAATTCAGCTAAAATCCAGCTTGTGATTTTTATTAATACCTGCCTAAGTCCATCTAGCTTTACATATGAATTCATAGTCTTTCACAACTTGATCTGACAAAACAAGTATTGATCAATAGACATGTTCAACACTGTATATTTAAGAGTATTCCCAAGTATCACCATATTAGGATTACAAAGAAAGTACAGTTCAGCATGTTTATTTTAGCCTGAGGAGAAGGAATATCATTTGTCCCACTAGTGAATCCTAAAGTGACTTGTGCAGAGTTTTCCATGTAAGAATTAAATAATAAAAAAAAAAAAACTAAAAACAAGACACACAGATGTGATGTGTACATTGAGAAATTGAAGGTATTTTAAAACATGGTGACTTTCTTCTTTAGGTGTGGGGGGGTATTTGCATTTCTTGAAAGTGCAGGTTTATAGCTCATGTATGTTCGTGTGCCTGTAGATGATTCTGAGAGTTTTAGCTATGCTTTCTGATACTCAGTGTTTCTAGGTCATGTTTTAGGAGCTCAACTTTTGGAGCTACTATTAGAGGAACTTCAACATCAGTTATCTCTAGATGTACTTTTAGCTTTTCAGAGATTACAGGAGTATGAAGGCTTCTTAGGTCTCACTAAATGTACTGGTTGAAGTATCATTATCTAACAAAATGTCTTTCCTTTTGGACAATACTGCTTTGTCAACTTCAATGTGTTATTGCTCCCTTCTCTTCCTGTCTTGGCCCCTTCCATCCTGTATCCTCCAGAAAGGAGGCTTGTGTTCCACTGGCATGTGTAGTCCTTGATGCCAATACAAAACATAAAGGAGTCCTACACATTCTGTTCCTTCAAAGAGTTAGACCTCCACATAATTCAGTCATATTTGCAAAATGCCAAATAATTGAAGTATTCAAGGTCAGGTTAGATGGGGCTCAGAGCAGCCAGGTCTAGTGGAAGGTGCCCTTACCCATGGCAGTGGGTTGGAACAAGATGATCTTTAATGTCCCTTCCAACCAAAACCATTCCACTATTCAGTGAAATACAGGATGCTGGAAACTCAAGGAAGCCCGTAGGATCATGCAAAACAGGAATTTCATATAAACCAACATGAGGAATATGAATGAGGTCTAAGGGACAAATGTAGATGTTTCAGTTTCTGAGATGGAATTGGATCAAATGTGACTGACAATTTAATATTTTGTGTAGATAAGGGGGTCAAACCAAGGTAGATTTCAAAACTTAAATTGCCTATTCAAACAAATTAATTAAATTTTTAATAAAATTCCATAAAGTGCTAAAGATGAATATCTAAAGTTCTTTCTCTTGTGAGTTTTGCCTTCCCACCCACAGTAAATCAGACTTTCATTTCAGCCTGATTAGGGTCAAGTAGACTGAGGACATGCTGACCTACAACCCTGTTAAGCTGCCACATAAGAATATTCCTGATCTGAATTCAGTGGCATTTAAGCTCAGGTTTATCTGCTTTTGCATCTACGTAATGCTAACTTGACTTTGATAAGGTCTTTTCAATACAAGCAGAGGTACCTGTAATTTACAGGAATTATATTGTGATATTCTGTGGCAGAGCTTTTTGAGTGCCATGCAGAAGACTGGGATTCCCACTGTGCTACCTCTTCCATTCTCATCCTTAACTCTGCTTTTTATGGTATTTATATGCATCTTACATGATTTTAATATTCCTAGGGATGAACAAGAAGCAGCAGAAGGTGTCAGCTAAAGATGAACCAGCTTCAGGCAGTAAGGGTGGTAATACATCACAGGTATGGTACAGCAACCATCTCTGGAAGATTTGTGGGATTTATTATTGGGAACTCAGTAACTGAAAGAGAGGTAATATTTCCTTTGTGCAAGTTACCAGTGTTATTGCATTGAATGAAATCAACAACTTCAGAGACTGCAAATATCAAATACAGCCCAACTGCTCTAGTAAAAATTTATGGAACATAGTGCAGATCTTGTGCTGTTCTTTTCAAAGCAGAATAATTTAGGAAGAGAATAAAGATGAAATACAGGTCGCATTATGACCTCTAGCAACCCCTTACCTTCTGATTTTTAGACTTCCACAACAATAATGCAAAAGAAATTGAGAATGGTTATTGCTGGGAAATGAGCAGCATTTAATTTATAGCAAGTAATTTTTTTTCTTTTTCACAAATTTTACGTATTTAACCACTAAAATTCTGCTGTATCTAAAGCAGACTCACAGCATCTGTGTGTAGGGCTAAATTTCAAGAAAGAAATATTACATCTGTCTCTATGATTAGCACATAGAGATTACAGAATAATCTGGCTTTGCAGATAGATTGGTACATCCCAGTAGAAACTCTCAGAAGTAGGAAGGCAAATAAAATAAAAGGGTGGTGACCAAAGAATTAGTTACTAAATTCACCTTTCTTTTCCTTTCCTTTTCTGATATCAATTTGTTTATCAGTAACTGATATTTCTGATAATATCTTTCATTTTGTAACAATTAGGGACTTTTGGATATTATTTTTCTGGATAAAAGAGTTCAAATTTCTCCTACAATAATGCAAATAAGTAATTTGGGTTTTTTAATAAATTCTATTACATTTAGAAATAAGATAGAGACATTATAGAAAGATTGCTTCTACTTTTGTTCATTAATAAAATAGCAGCTAAAAATAATAGCACTAAAAACAGGAGCTCTCTCGTTTGTTGCTTTTTTGACTCTGTTTTACTGCACTAATTCTATTCTCTCGCTTTTTTACATCTCAGTCACAGAAGAAAGGACAGCAGTCACAATTTTTGCAAAGCCGTAACTTAAAATGCATAGCCTTATGTGAAGGTAAGCTGAAAGCCCTCGTGAAGCTGTTTCAGTCGTGGCCACAGGATGCACAGCTTACAGGGTGCAGATCAGTGGGAGCTTTAGTTGCTTGTTTACGTAAGAAACTACTGGTAGGTGTAGGAGTACCTGCTCAGCAGCTGACCTTAATGCTTAAGTAAGAACATCACCCCTCTTTGAACAGAACCTGTAGCAAATACGGAATTGTCAAGGAATATCATATACATACAGTGACTGGTCATCTGGTCTGTGTTTCAAATGTGATCCTCTTCCTGAGCCATCAAGAAGACCAATGTCCTTTATTTGAAGCACTGACTTCTTGCAAACCCTTGACAAATGCCTTAAACACATAAAAGTCAGAAAAAAGCCACCTTTCATATAGGAAATATATGCCAAATAATTTTTCTCTGTCAAACAAGCATACTGATAATCTGGCAACCATTATGTTCTCTTTGTTTTCTTCATAAATTTAGGGAAGTTAAAATCTAATACTTGTGAACAGTCATTCTTGAATTGGGTATTCTTTTAATAAGTAGTGAAACCTCAGCAGGTTTTGAGAACAGATTATGACATTTCAATAAGAAATGCACCTGTAGTTAAGAACTAGTCTTAAAAATTATATTAAATCAATTTGGCCATCATGTGGGCCATTTGTTTGTTTTAAAAACTGAAAATTAAGACAGAAGGTATAAAATGTGTTACTTCAAAATAGAAGCTTTTAGTTGTATATGACTAAGGATCTGTCAGTCAACATGAAAATGCAATTTGAGCTCTACAGAAAAATACAGAAATTTCATTCTAAAACTTCAATAAGGAACAAAATTAATTACTTGGCCTTTAATACCTGAATTTTTAAATTTAAATTACATCTTTCACAAGGACATTTTTATCATGTTCTTTCCTTGCACTTATTAATGAATTACCAATATTACAAGAGTGAATTTTAAATATTTGGTGAAATACATTTTGCAGCTTTCATATTCACTTCATTTCTCTGTGTTGAAAAGGTAGTTTGGGGGAGATGATTAATATCATTAATCTTTACATAAAGATTTTATGTAAAATTATTTACAAGAAACACTTGTTAAAAATTGTAATTCATGAAATAAATAGTATCAAAACTGAATATGCATGCAGTTACGTTAGTGTTAGAATAAAATAGACCAGACTATTTCTGTTGTGAGCAACCTACAACTGTCACCCAGGTCCAATCCTGACAAGTTCAGGGCTGCCCAAACATTAAGGCATGTCATTAAGAGCATTATTTAAATGCCTCTTAAACACTGACGGGTTAGGCACACCAACCACTCGGTAGGAAGACTGTTCCAGGGTTTGACCAGCTGATCCCTGCCAGCAGCCAAGCCCTACACAGCCACTCACTCACTTTCCCCCAGCAAGGCTGAGAGAAAGGGTAGAAGCCAGAAAGCTCATGGGTTGAGATAAAGACAACTTAATAGGGAAAGCAAGAGCCCTGCACGCAAGCAAAGCAAGACAAATTAATTCACTGCTTCCAACGGGCAGGCAGCTGTTCAGCCATCTCCAGGAGAGCTCAGCCCATGTAGTTACTTGGGAAAACCAACATCATCACTCCCAGTGTACCCTCCTCTCCTCCTTCCTTCCCCCACTTCATATACTGCACATGATGCCACATGGTCTGCAATATTCCTTTGGTCAGCTGGGTTCACCTGTCCTGGCTGTGTCTCCTCCCAGCCTCCCATGAATCACCAGCTTTCTTGGAGCATGGCAGTATGAGAATCAGAAAAGGCTTTGGCTGGCTCTGTGTGAGCCCTGCTCAGCAATAACAAAAACATTTATCAACATATATATTATCAACACTGCGTTCAGTACAAATCCAAAAACTGCCCCATGCCATTCACCGAGAAGAAAATTCTCTACCCCAGTCTAACCCAGCATACCACCCTCTCAGTTAAGAAATGCTTCGAAATGTCCAGTCTAAACCTCCTGCAGCACAGCTTTGAATCATTCCCACACATCCTGTCGCTGCATACCAGGGAGAGGTGCTCAGCACCTCCCTGTGCCCTTCTCCTCCTCAGGAAGCTGCAGAGTGGTGAGGTCACCCTCAACCTTCTTTTCTCCAAACTAGACAAGCCAAATTCCTCCATTAGTCTCCAGGACATGTTTCTCAGCCCTCCCACCGGCTCAGGACACCCTGAAGGACCTTCCCATCCTCCTCCACCTGCAGAGCCCAGCAGGGCCCAGGCCGAGGCCGCCCCAAGGCTGAGCCCAGCGGGACCATCCCCTCTCTGGGCCGGCTGTGCCGTGCTCAGGGCTCTGGGATGGGGTTTGTGCTCAGTGCTCTGGGATGGGGTTTGTGCTCAGTGCTCTGGGATGGGGTTTGTGCTCGGGGCTCTGGGATGGGGTTTGTGCTCAGTGCTCTGGGTTGGGGTTTGTGCTCGGGGCTCTGGGATGGGGTTTGTGCTCGGTGCTCTGGGATGGGGTTTGCCCTCGGGGCTGCCCAGGCACTGCTGAGCCACACTGAGCCCAGCACCAGCCAGCCCCACCTCCCTCTGCAGCTCTCCAGCCACTCCTCTCCCACTTTACCCCTGTGCCTGGTGTTACTCCATCCCAGGTGCAGAATACAGCACCTGGACTTGTCAAATTTCACCCCATTTAAGACTGCCCAGTGGCCCAACCTATCTAAATCCCTCTGCAAAGGCCTCTTGTCCCTCAAAAGAATCCACAGCACCTCCCAGTCTGGATCATCAGCAAATTTGCTACTGGTGCATTTACCTGCTGCATCCCGATGGTGGAAAAATACCCAGAACAGAACTGGCCCTGGAATGGAGCCCTGAGGAACACCACTGGTGTGACCAGTCACCAGACAGATGCTGCCCCATTCACTACAACCCTTTGGGTTCAGTCCCTCAGCCAGTGCTTCACCCACCATACCATGAACCTGCTCATCCCACAGCTGGACAACTTGTCCAGAAGGATGCTCTTCAAATGCATATAGTTAGATATCTTCAAATGCAGATTGATGGTATAGCTTCTATTTAGCAATAAAAAGCTTTCTTTCCTGTTGTCCTCATCATGCTGGTAAACAACCTATCATCAAATACATAGAGTAAGTTTTGGCAAGGTTTTTGAATGTCTTGAGTCATAATTGCTATTTGTTTTAAGTATTTGGTAATATTGGACATCCCAAATCCACCATATAGTAGTTTCAGGCTTTGTCTTAAGCGTCTTGGTTTTGGATCAGCCATCACCAAACACAAATATCTGTTCTAAATGCTGATTGGATGTCTCAGACCCTCCTTAACAGTCCTATGGCTTTTTAAATTCAGTTTTTAATAAATGCATTTTTAAATTCCATTTAACAATTTGCATACATCAAGCATCTGTGTTTTCAGAAAAGTGTGTTTTGGAAACAAGAATTAAGTTCATCTTCCTTTTTGTACTAGCATCCATCTCAAAATCTGCACTCCAGCACAGACATGTAGAGGAAAGCTGCACATTCCTGAAAGACTATTTAAAATCTATAAAACACAAAATCTTTTAAAGCAGTGTTTTCCAGGCATGTTTTCATCACTATGAAATTTATTCTTTCTCTGATAGTGATAACCTCACCTGATCTGCACAAACATGGGGAGATATGGGTAGTTCCCAACACGGATCACGTGTGTACAAGATTTTTCTTTGTGTGAGTACAAAGCTTCTCTTAAACATTCAGCTTTATACTAGATCTTTTTCTTATGTTTCTTATGTTCCAGTAGTTGTAATTAAAGTAGATAAAAGACATTTCTTCCTAATTCTGTTTATTATTCCTCCATTTTTTATCTTTCACTGTACTTACTTGTGCTAGAAATGTATGGATAAGCTAGTGTCAAAGGTTTAGTAAATGTCTTGTTTTAATACAAATGAACAGAGAGTTCATAATTTTTCCTATTCAATGGCATTACTTCATGTTACAGTAAGTCTGTCCATGTATTGTGAGACATAATTTCTATTTGGCTGTATGTATTTAAGCTGAGGAATTAATTAAAGGCTTCCTGTCTGTGCTGTGAGCATTTCTCTTTCACGTAACACTTGTCCCCTTTGGGTCCTAGTGGCTTACTCAGCCTCAGGGCTTCAGTGACAATGGCAGCCTTACCACCTGCCACTCTCCAGAATTTAGGATCTGCATAGAAAGATGAAGCACAGCAGAGCACTTCAGTAGAAACATGTTAACATATGGAATAAGCACTTGGAGAATGAGAGTTTTTGATGTTTCTACATAGATTAATAAAACACTAATATGATATTATTTTCTGTACTTTTTTTTTTTTTTAGTTATGAAGATGGTCAAGTGGGTGATACAAGTATAAATACACAGGAACCAAACATTCATAAAGAGATTCTTCGAGTCATTGGCAATCAAACTGCTACTGGTTAAAAGGACCACTGTTATTTAATTGATGTGAAGCCTTCCTCAGTCTCAAAGCTGGATTTTGAACTGAAGAAGATGCAAAAAACTAATTTATTATTACTACACTAAGCAAATTAACCATTTGAATACTTACTGTTTTCTTACTTAGTATTTCGTATCTCATCAAAATACCTGAGATGGTATCAATTAGCAACTGCAGGGGTGCAAGTCTATTATTATACTAAAACAATTAATAATTAAACAGGCATTTGGGTTGCTCACAATAAACAGACATTAAAAAGGACTTTTGTGCTCATATTTTTATACTAAACTTCAATTGGAAGTTTTAGTACTGTATACTGATATTTTAAATTTAGAATGAATTACAAGTAAGAGAGAAGATTTTATAGCGGAGCACCTGTATTATACAGGATACTTTGCAATAAGTAAAATATTCTCGTATTAAAACACAATAAGAGGTTGTCTGGAACACGTAAAATTGAAGAGAATGGTTACCTGCAGCTATCTTTGATTCTTTTTATTTTACACAAATGCAGTTAGCATTTAAACTCAAAGGTGAGACAACAATGCATTTTTTATTTACTGGGTGAAACAAAGCAAAATGAATGTGACGGTATATGTTTAGCTTTCTTTATCTTCTCTGGAACACTGTCTTACCCATTAAGCAGCTCAGTTGCATTTTTTAATTATACAAGCCTAGGAAACACCTGGAAAACCTAAAGCTGTTAATTTCCTTTTTAGAATTTTTGGTTTTATATACTAGATTTTACAATTTCATTAGATCAACAAGGTTTTTTAATGTTTGCATCTTAACTTCAGTGAAACTGCTCTATGATGAAATTTATCCACATATTTTAAAGTATGTGCTGAGTTAAGGCTTTTACATGGTTGAGTTGATTGTTGGTGCATCAGAAAATATATACAAATGCAAAATTCTCCTGATTTTGTCTTGGTAAAATAGTTTTATTAATTAATTCCTAAGCTATAAGAAATCAATTTAAATATCTCTGTCTTTTAAATTAACAACTGTTTTTTCCAAGTGAGTAGGATGGCAACACAGATAGAGAAGGGTCCAGTCTCCAAGACAAAAAGCATACCCTGTGCCCTGCTGAATGCCCTTGGCAGCCCTCATGGTGGCTATCCTGAAGCATCAACCACACCCTTGAATATGGAGAGCAATTCAGCTTACCCATCTGTGCAACTACTACAAGCCACCTCAGAAAGCAAAAATAGACTGAAACCTCTCTTATGTTACTTTCATAATAAAGATACTAAAGCACCAAATAACAGCACAACAGAGCACAGGTGTGTTTGTTTCTTTTAAACAGAACTGAATTAGGTATGCTGTAATGGGTGGTTCCTTCTTTCTAGTTCATGCTACGCTCCTGTGTTACTTGCTGCAGTTGACGTGCCCTACAAGTAAAATAGTGGTATTTGGCCTAGGAGCATATACCTGGCGCTGTATTTTAGCATTCTACACTTAGTTGCTTTAGTTTTAGTTTTTCTGGGCTCATATCCAAACTTGTAAAGCAAATTCTGTTTGCATATACCCATTTTGCTTTTAGTTCCATTGACTTGCACCCTTATTTGGTGGACCTCTAAATTGGAAAAGCGCTACTCTCTTGTCTTTCATGTTGGGATACGGGTTAACTTCCTGAAACAAAGAGGTTTCCTGAAATTCGTCCGTCTACATGAAGACTGCCGTAGGTTGTGTGACTGCTAAAAGTCAAAATAATTCCGAAGTGGAGCTGAAACCCTGGCATGACCATCTCTGTGTAATGGTCCTGCCATATGTTTCTGAATCACTCTGTTTTGCCTAACAAAAAGAAATGGGGAAGCAGTCCACAAAGATGTTCTATGATTATTTGCTGGGCTGATAGTCCACCACTCTGGGATGCCTCTTACAAAAAAACTAGGAGGAAAGAGACATGACCATGAGTGAACTGGAGAAGCCAAGTAAACAGTCATCTTTCCCATCCCCTCAAGCTTATAGCAGGGTCAGAAATGAAACCCTTGAAGGAAGGAATCTGAAATGTAGCTAATGAGTCGACCTCTGTTTGCATTGTGGGGTCAGTCGTAATACTGGTCATGCATGGTGCCATTGTAAGTACAACCCCAGGACAGCAAAGGGAAAAATACATTGCTGCCAAATTTTAAGACTGCTCAGAGGTTTGTTTTAAATGGATGAACCACAGTAAGGGACAGTGTGGGGGAAAGCAGGACTCCAGGCTGTATGGAGGCCTCGCTGTTGTAAGGTGCCTATCTCAGGGAGTGCTGAGGTGACCGACTTAAGGAATGGTGAACAAGAGTAAGAGGTAGAATGTGACAAGCACAGGTGTTACAAACCAGTGGAAGAGGGCAAAACCTTTCAGGGAAAAAGGTAGTTCTGAAGGGACAAAGTGGCATTAGCAGCTCAGGTCCCACGCAGTACATGGCAGGAAAATGGACTGGCAGAAGCAAGCTGCAGCATGGGGATGTACAGCCTGTGGCAGTGTGGGGCAGCACCATGCTCAGGGCAACAGGGCCACTTGAAAATACGTCACTAGGCTACAGCGCAGACACAAGCCCAGTGTCACAGATAAACAGCAGTTGAAGCAGAACAAAATTCTTTGGCCAGAAACTCAGTCACGTTTTTCTTTAGCCATTATATTAATGAGAAACTTCCAAGGCTTTGTATTATTTGCAGGTGAATTTGAATCTTCAGATTATTTAACAAAGTTTTAGTTCACATTATTTTTAAAAAATGAGGGGAAGGAGGGATGCTCACTTGGCATCTGTTACTCAAAAATAAATAATCCTTATGCAGGAAATATCAAAGCTGAAACAAAGACTTATCACAAAGGAATTGAATGAAAAAGCCTGAGGATAAGATTTTCTTTAAAGGATTTGTCCTTTGGGTATTTATGCAAAGGTGGAAGTTGCATGTAGCCAAACACTTCCAAATAACTTACATTAACATGAATTCCAGGGGATGAAAAATAAAAATTCCAGGCTCATTTGAGCAAGACCCTGTGTTATGCCCAAAGCCTTTGCATTTCCCTTCCTCTCACATATTGGTGATGGATCAATCATTGTAACTCATGCTGTAAAAGATGCAGGCTTTCCACAGATGGCTTTTAATCAAAGCAAGTAGAGCCCCAGGCTCTGCCATTTCTCTTGGTAGAAATTTCCATTAAGGCATTGCTGTCACCATACCCAGTATGGAGCAACCAAGGGAGTTCTTGGTAAATAACTTTCTAACTACTTGCAACATCTTACAACAGAATGCAAGCCCTCCTCATGGTGAAAAGGTTTGACATAAAAATTATGTTTGACCTTTAATGTTGCACCCTAATTATGAATTGCTGTATTTATACTGCTGAATATCTTAAACATTGAGAAAAGAATCCAGAAAGATGAGTTTAAATCTTCCATGAGATTCAGGCGAGTATTTAACATTCAAGGGCTAAATGAAGGAATTTGAGGTATCTTTTTCTGTGATAGGAATCAACATGGCCCTGTTTTCTTCAACAGTCCTACACTGTTTTGTTAAGCTGAATATTTGGCTTCCTATTACTTACCCTAAAGTGGCAAGATTGTGTAATATTTTGATTAATGTTTTACAGGAACTAGTCAATGACACTGGAATTTTTTAGGCTTAAATTTTTCCTCTACAGCCCTTGAAAACAACTCTTCATGAAGCTGAATGGATTTAACATAATAGTTGTTGGTACTGAAAATGTATCTGATGAATTATGCTCAGATTATACTTTTGTTAATACAAATATAAAGTCACTCCAGATTAATAATTTGTGCACAGATAAATTATACTTTGCTTATAAATCACTTACTACTGTGAAAACAATTAGTATAATTTCTACAAGGATAAATACAAAGTAGAAAAAAAAAGGCAAAAGGGAACAACTGAATTAAGACATTCATTGTTTAGAAGGAGATAGTAAAAAACCACAAAACCTAAGCAAATGAAAAAGTAGAATCTAGTTACCTAAGTATTATATTAATTTAGATAGATTTTTTTTCTTGGCTCTGGGAAATGAAAGTGAGATACAAGGAGTATGAGCCATGACTCACCACGTGCAGCCTCTGCTGGCAGTGCTGCTGCAGCTGGAATGGCCCTGGCCACCCATTCTCTTCTCTTCTGCGGCACACAGCATCCTGTGGTGTTTTATTTGCAATACTGAGGTGTTAATCTGGTGTCTGTGCAATTTCTTCATTACAAACACCACCTCACGGTGAAGGATTAGCCTTTTGAGTAAACCGAGCAAGATCTGCTGCTTGTAGAGCAGATACGATCCTGTGAAGCACCAGAAGTTGTTCAGAAAGGCTCTTTAGTCCAGTTAGATGAATTTATTCCTTAAATAAATTCCACTCAGGAGTGGAGTGATGTGCTTCAGAAGGGGATAAATAAAAGGGGATAAATAAACGGGGATAAATAAAAACGGGAAAAATTGCTCCAAGTAGAGCGTCATTCTGTGCGCACCGTGCTGCGTGAAATGCACAGGGATGTCGCCAGGAGTTTGAATTTCCCAATTTGTGTTTGGAAACAGGTCTGAAAGCACTGACCTCCTCTGTCTGTCCTGGCATGTCAGTGTTGTACTCCTGCTCTCCGGCTGCAGCAACAGCCACTGACAAGAGCCAAAGGAATAAGACAGCTTGAACTGCTGTTCCATAGCATTTTGATTGCATGCTCCTGCTAAGTTTCAGTCTGCCACAGGACAGCTATGATGTAAATTACTGCCCATTACACTTTGCATTGGGATTTTGTATATGTACTAGGCATAAGGCTTTTGTAAAGGGGAAAAAAAATAGTTTTTAGATGAACATATCTACTGTGTTGAAAACCTGTTGAGAAGATTGCATTAAACATCAAAAAGTCAGTAAAAATAGTCCTTATGCATAGCCATTTAATGTTCTAAAAATAATTTTTGAACTTACCCAGTATATATTGTATCTTTTAATTTTAACAAACAGCCACTCCTTTATGTAAACATAAAATATGCCAATGTTTCTTTTAACTCTATAGCCTTTTTTTCTCCAAATAAATTTATTAAATTCTGTGCACAAAATCATACTGCAGCCTGCTATTTAGCCTATGGTGCCTTAGAGTTACTCAAATATTTAACAAAATGGAGATAATGTAAATACTGCCAGAAGATCACTAAGGCCAAATATTTTCTCTATTCACTTTTTACTGCACTTGCTTTCTATTGCTATTTAAGCCTCTTTTATTCAGCTTTGTAATAGCTATAGCATTGTAGCCAATGTAAATGTTTACCTTCAATAAATCAGAATTTGTTCAACAAGCACTGGGCATTTGGGCACTATTTTGAGAGATCTGTTCGAAGTTAAAACAGCCATCTAAGAATTAAACTGCATCTGAAGCAGTTTCTTGACTTTTTCTAATCTCAATGACATCTAAAAGTTATGCCATGCTTTTACACATGTTTTTGAAGTAATTTTTGTTTGCAGTGATCTTTTTAAAAACACTTAGATGAACAGTAAAAGCAGCTTTTCTTGCTGTGTTTATCTGAATGGGTTACCCAACTATAATAAAAGCATTATTTTGCATGTACAGTATCATAAAATGCATAAAGATGTCTCAAGATGCTTTATATAATTGCTTTTAAATAAGTACTCTGTTTTTCTGTAGAGCTGTTTTTGTCATGAAAACACAGCAAATGTATGACAAACCATGTCATACTTTAATGTGGCTATGTTTAAAGTATAAATACACATCTGCAACTCATAAAATATGCAGACATTTGTGGGACTGGTTATTAATTCAGTGGGTGTACTGTTTTTTTCACTGCTTGTGTGCTCATTTTAATTATATGGGTGGATGTAGCTTGCAACTTCTGAAAGTTTTACCTTTTGTTTCTTAAATTTATTATTTTGTGATTGCAGATTTTGGATTGAAAGAGTCAAAGTGGTGCTTACTATTATTTTGACTGCTGTGAAGTGCATTACACATATATGACTATCAGAGAGACCAAAAGATACTTCATTGCTACTCTAAATGACTGATAATTTGCCTTTGATTTAAGTGTAGAGACTGAATTCTCTAATGGAAGAGATTTTCCAAATTTGGGGGATCTTAAATTTGGAAGCAGTAATTCCCAAACTCACAAAAGTGAGTTTTAATCAGTGAGGAAATCTCAGACCTCTGTAGAATTGTTATCCACAGAGAGCAGAAGGGACAGAATTTATATTTGCTTTGGTTTAACTTAGTTCATTTCCAAGTGGCTGCATCACAAGTTCTCTCAATATGCAC